TGTATTTTTCGACTCCCTTGGTTATCTTATAACTGACGAACAATGTGCCCAGTAGAGTTTTTTCCGTAAAATCCAGTGACGTAACTAGTTTTTCGCTGGATGTCGTCATTAAACAATATTTAAATAAATTAATTAAAAAAAATAATGTTAAGGCCATATTTAGGAATAATAGCTTCCAGTTACGCTACTGAAATATACGTAAAAATTCTATGGGACTCGGTTTTCACCATTGACTAAAGAATATGAGGACATGCAATGCAAAGTTGAGTCAAAAGTTGTCCCCCTCACAAACAAAATTGACGTGTTTTTGGATTTTTTGAAAAAAGAATATCCTAGCCGTTATGCCTTGCGGAACGTTTTCGATGGGCCACCCTGTATGTGTTTATCACAGAATTTGAATAGGTGGTAAATTATATTTGATTTTTTAATGTAATTGTTTTCGTATAGTATTTTAATTAATAAAATTGTACTTATTTGGCAACCGAACCAAACACTTTGGACTGTAAAATCCTTACCGCAAGTGCTTTTTGTCATAGGATTTATCAAGTATTTGACTTGCATTAGGTTAAGATGACGTTTTGCAGCTGTGTACATTTTAGTAATATATCGTATTTATATTATTTATCTTCGTACATTCCCTATTAACTTGTTAAATTTGCATAGAGACTGTTTTTCTGATTAGTATAATAATAAATGATTGTGAAGACGATTTTATAATAAATGAACTTGTTTTATTTCTCTCCCAATTTTGGCTGCCTTTTTCCTCCTAATTATCCATAATTAGTATTATAATCTAGAGATGAGCAAAACTGCGATTCCGATTTTTAAATCGCAGCGATTGCAATCTGCGATTGGGATTTTAATATTTACCAAACCAAATTATTCGTAAACAACTGCTTTTTCTAAATATGCCAATAATGAGCCACCCTCGTTCCATTTGAAAAAATTGAGATATGATTAAAAATACGATTTGGGCACTTTTTAACTGGCTGGGACAAGACGCGAAAAACAATATCTTTCCAAGGCATCTTGATTAAAAACTAGTGTTTTTAACAAAGCCATAACATTTCCACCCCAATTTTTCTCCTTTAAAATTAAAATTTGGAAAAACGCTCGCCCACGTCGATTTAGTTTTCGAGGGGGAAGTAAAAATATCATAAAATCACTTTCACACCTACAACCCCCAAGGCGGGGGCGACGCCACCCCTATATTCTTAAATGGAAAGGGGGCCGAGTGATACCGCATGTGAAAGGTCTTTCAATTCCCTTTCTAATGATATAAGATATTATGTACTTTCGTTCAGTAGTTTTAGAGATTTATTGATTTAAAGTAGATTTTAATTTATCAGCTAAGTGGTGAAAAAATCGGTTTTTATTTTTTTTCTCTCTCTGTATGTATTTTTTTGGCAAACTGTGTGTACTAAAAATTTTAACTAATCAATCTGCATCGATCCACGCCCAAAAATCTTTCTATTCGGAATAAGTGAAAAAAGCTCAATTTTGGCCGGGAAAATTTTTAGAAATTTTAAAAAATAAAAAAAAAATTTAAGCTTTTTTAATTAAAAGCTTAATTTTTAGTATACACAGTTTGCCAAAAAAATACATACAGAGAGAGAAAAAAAATAGAAACCGATTTTTTTCACCACTTAGCTGATAAATTAAAATCTAGTTTAAATGAATAAATCTCTAAAACTACTGAACGAAAGTACGTAGTATATGATATCTTATATCATCAGAAAGGGAATTGAAAGACCTTTCACATGAGGTATCACTCGGCCCCCCTTTCCATTTAAGAATATAGGGGTGGCACCGCCCCCGCTTTGGGGGTTGTAGGTGTGAAAGTGATTTTATGATATTTTTATTTCCCCCTCGAAAACTAAATCGACGTGTCCGAGCGTTTTTCCAAATTTTAATTTTAAACGAGAAAAATTGGGGTGGAAAGTTTCCATTGACCCACCCTGTATACCATTTTATTCAGAGTGTCACTTCATATCAAACTTGTCACCAAACCAAAAATCAAAAGTTTGTAGTCATTTCCGGTGAAACAGAAACTGGCCGAAAACAATTGAATACGTCAGTCAATCCTAATTCATGTCATATAAGATACCAAATCTGTTTTCTTTTTATCAAAAAAAAAAGAATTATAGGGGTGAACCACTCTTGAGAAACACCCGGTATATTATAATAATATACTGTGGCCCTAGAAAAAATACCTTTTCTATGAATAAATAATATCGGAGAGAAAATTCATTCGCAGTTTACTATAAAATGCTTCAATAGACCACAAAATTACATTCGCAACAATATCGCAAATCACAACTCCTAAAAATTCAAACTTGCAATCACGGTTCCAGTTTACAATATCACAATCGCAGCAAAACTGTAAATCGCAACAAAGTCGCAAATCACAGCTATAGTAATACACTGGTTGCTTAAATTGAAACCCGCAAATACACTACTCAAAACAATTATCCCAAATATTATTAATATAATATTTTATATTATATTAAAACAATTATCTTTCATTCATCGTCGATCGAACTCTTCACAGTGACAGTATGTATCTGAATTATACCGAGACAAGAATAAGAGGAAAGCTTAAGCATCATAGAGTAATACCGTATCATCGAAAAAAAACGGTGTCAAAGACGGCTGAGGATCGATAATAATTTTGGCGAGGTCAAGCTCTAGACGTCGTTTACTTGACCCGTACTTTTCTTTATTTTTTAATAACTCTGACTGCCCGTCGGCTTAAAAATGTTCTAATTTATTTTTATATTGGGTAAAAATGATTTTTAAATGGTGACGTAGTTTAAAATTCGATATAGAATATTTTTTTCGATATAGATTTGTGTGTCTGGACGTTGTTGTATCTTTTTTCAATCTTTCTATAATCAGTCTTAATTTTTGAAAAGGTTTGTGTCAGTTTTTAGTAGATGACGTCTAGAGATTAACTTCGCCAAAATTATCGCCGTCATCGTATCATTGTCATTCCCCAGGTATATTTGATGCCGTTTTTTTCTATATATACGGTAAGTATAAGAAGCGTACATGTAATTAGTGATAACAAGTCATTCATAAACCGCATTTACTGTAAAATGGTTTATCTTTAAAATCATATTTCTAGAACTTATTAATTCTTTATTATATGATTTTTAAGGTGTAAAATATAAATAAAATATTAAAGAACTAAATAATATTATGAAATTTCTTGTGTGATACCCTTGAATACGTAATTAACAAATCTCGCCATGATTGAAAATATGACGTCATCACAAAATTACCAATGTCCAACGGCATCGGACGGACGGTTGGTACGGATCGGACAAAATACAACTCACAACGTGCGGCAGGCAGTAGACATCGCATTTTGAAAATCCCGCGCCAATTCAGGAAACGGAGAGGCAAAAGCCGGCCGACGCGTCCCGTTACAGACGCATGTGCTGTTCGGATCGGAGTTACCAGTGTCTAACCTGCCGGGGTCACGGCGATCACCAGCGGTCTATGTCCCACTAGTGCACTCGAGCACCCAACAATGTTGCCGTTTGTTGTCCCTTAATTTCATGATTTTCAATTGTTAGCTAAAGAAATGTATTTTTACGGTTTATTTCAAAGTTTGATTGTTATTTAGTTTATTGTGTTAGAACGTTCTTAATAGCACAGATTAGGTATTAGGTATAATTATATTAATAGTTATCAGAATACTAAATAAAGCAAAAATAAGTTCTTCGGAAACATATTAAAAAATTTTATCCTAACCAGATATAAAAGAAATAGCACCTTGACTTAGACTTTACTTTAGCAAAACTAAAATGTTGCATTTTCCAGCGAATTCTGTATCAAAAATTTTAGTACAAAGAGTTTAACAAGGCATTTAAAATCACATGCACAGGTGGCACAAGGTAATTGAATTTCTCGATGTAAGTATAGATATTATATTCTAATGTAAGTATAGATATTATACCAGCTTAATAAAGAACCAAAAGAGGCTGGCAACAAAAATACAATATCGCCTAAAAAAATGCGTCAGCGATGGTTATGAAATGAAGATCGCTGTCATTTTGTATGTAAAATTATATGGGGAATATCATGGATATTCATTTCGAAGCCAAACGACGCCCTTTTTTTCGATCATACGGTATTATTCAAAAAGAAAAGTTTTTAGCACAAAAAGAAGCTTGGGTAATCCTTTTGATAAACCCCAGAAAACTTATTAAACCATCTGAACCAAAATAAAAATTATTAAAAAAATTAAACTACATTGTTTATACATTGACTTTTATTATTTTAGATAAGTTAGTATTAACGCATTTTTGCACATAATAATTCATCAGCATTTTTGCTTTGACTATCATTTCAGATGGTTTCTTTAATGTCACATTGTCACTCTGAATAAAATTCAGTGAAAATGTAAATTTAATACTTGAAAGCAGGGTTGGCATGATTTAAATCAAGTGATTTTTTTAATTTTAATCATGTGATTTAAATCAGAAAAAAAAATAGTTTTATTGAAACTTTATTATAAATCAAAAAATAACTGTATATTATGTAAAGTTATAAAAATATGTGTCCTAGAAAACTATAAAAAATATTTCTATAACAGATAATAAATCGAAAAATAATTGTAAATGTTATAAAACTATATAAAAATATCTATTCATCAATTTAATTGTTGGACCGATTTTTAAAGTGCTTTACTTTTATGCCTAGGCGTTAAAATTACTAAAATGATTTTTTCCAGCCCTGCTTAAAAGTAATATATAATAAGTAATAAAAAGTAATTATTACTAATATATCTTATATTTTTATAAACAATATATAATAATTGAATTAAAAAAAATAGTAAATATATTTCTAGATGATTTGACTTAACATTCACTTTGAATAAAATGGAGTGAAAATTAAGATCTAGTACTTGACAACATTGTTGGGTGCCCAAGTAGACTATAGGGACGTAGACGCTAGTCTTGTATCGAGGGATCGGAGTCGGAGACGTCGGAGATTGCCGATGCGTCGCGTCGGCATCGTATCGTCGGAATTTTGCTAGTTCCAAGTTCCACTGCGGCTTGTTTGGTGTACGTTACGACGAGGCGGCTTGTGAGAAAATGGGTTTTCACGAGACGTTGATAGCGCAGGTTCAAAGTTACAGAGCGTTATACGATGAGAAGGACAAGAATTACAATAACCACCAAAGAAAGGAAGAAATATGGCAGATAATATCACAGGAGATTGGGGAAACCAGTAAGTTTATTATAAACATTTATTTTATTTCAATTAAGGCGAGTATATATGCATCCGTAATGCGTCGTTCCATCACTTCAGTCATAATATGTAAGTATGAGCTGTAATTTTTTAAATAAACCAATAAAATTAATGACGGACGATGCATTACGGATACATGTAAACCCACACTTACTCTGACAAAGGGAAATAATGTTTGAACTGTTCCTTAAATTATGTAGTAAAAGTACCTACACGTTGCCTTAACGACGATATAAACATGCTACGGCGTCTGCGGCGTCATACTTGAACAACAGACACATACCCGAATCGGCACGAATTGCCACATTGCCACAAATCGCTCAGCCGAGCCATCCGGCAACTACCGCCTATAAAGTTCGAGGCGGACGCGCACAGCGCATCGAATCGACTCCGGCTGGTCCACTCCATAAAGACACTTTTAAACAAATACGTTTTAATAAAATATACGGAGAGTACCGCTTAAATTCCTGTCCCGATGTTGAAGGATGGCTATAGAATGTCAATGCATTTCCTACATAAGTCTATCCTTGTTCGGGAGGAGGTTTTCTGCGCTTGCTCGATCTGTAAGCACTTTGATTGGACAGTTCCAAATCATATGATATGTTTTGTTTTGGTTTTATTTATTTTAAGTTGAGGTTAAAGACGTTCTGATAATTGAATTAAATCTTTCGAAAAATTGGAAGTTTTTTGTTAAATATTCTGAAATCAAATAAGTTTGATAATGTAACATTATGCGCATATTTATCAATTGAGATATTTTAATCGTATCCAACATGTTATGGCAAAACACTTTTTCAACCAAAAGTTTTCAGATATCTTCGATTTAGTTATTTTCGAATGTTTATTTTGTTTATATCTATTACAAACTCAAGGAGCAACAGTTTTTTACAAGTAGTGTTAATTTTGATGCTGGTGCAATACTTCTACTCGTTAAAATAAGTTTATTATAAATATTACAGACATTTAAAAAAATAGGCTATGGAATAGGTATATAAAAATTATTTTATATCTGTCTCACAATGGGGGGCTCCTAGTAGCGTAATAGGTATCTGCAGTGCGATTCTGTAAACATTTCCCTGTCTAGTGACTCATCAATCGTATACAAATAGCATAGGCTCGATAGGAAATTTCTTGCTACAGAGCTTACAGAATCCCATTGCTGATTTCTAAAATTCTTTTTCTAGATAGGCTTCCGCATCGTAAAAACTCCTATTTTATGGTATGTAATTAGTATTCTGAAGGTATTAAAATATTTTAATATCAATATAGTTTTTTCACTGAAACTCGAGTTAAATCTTAATATACATTATTCATATTGTCGTTTTAGAGATTGTGCTTTTATACTTACTATTATGAAAATTTACTGAATAAAATATATAGTTGCAATCCTTTTACTGAACTCCTTAATTTCTTGTTTTATGAGGGGATAATTTTTGCTTATTTAGGTACTAATTTTAATCAGACCATTTTTTAATGAACTCATTTATATTTATATCATATCGTTCTAAGTAGACTTTGTTGTGTTAGACAATTATTATTAAATAAAACGAATGAAAAAAAGTGACAGGTACGATATTTTTTTTTTAAATTCAAAAAATAATTTAGTAAAACCACAATTATTAAGAAATTGTCTTAAAAACTTCGTAGTACAAATTGCATATCTATTTCACTTTTTTTAAAATTCAAAAAATAATTTAGTAAAACCTCAATTAAGGAACTGTCTTAAGAACTTAGTATTACAAATTGCATATCTATTTCACTCGACTTAAAAATTGCAGCAAAACAAAGTATAACAGTACATTTTTTACTGTCTATTGTTTCTTTTACTGCCCATGTATTTATGATCAATAATCAACATCAGTCCTGGTTTAAAATGAAACAAAAGTAATTCTTTATTATTAACATATTTTTTATTAAACAAATATAACTAAAAGTATGTACATATTAAGTTTATACATAAATCAAGCTAGATACAAAAAATATAATTATTTACATTGTTGCATTGTAAATACTCTTTTATATTATGAAAAAAAAACAATAATAATTTACAATAAGACAGTTTGTGTGTAACTGTGTAAGCATTATAATTAGCCTTATGTAGTCTCTATTTTTAGTCTTTACATTATAATGTCTTTTTTATTTTAAAATAGTAAGACTAAATATAATGCTTTTAACAATTATTGATTTTTGAATAAAATTAGTTTAGTATATTTTTGTCTTATATTAACATCCCTTTCATTTCTGATTTTGCTTTCATGATACAAACGAACATCGAGAAAAATTTCTATTATTAATTTGGTTAGTTGGCTTCTACCACACAAGAAGCAGTAGCCCATTCCCATTGTTCTATTAATTAAACTACAGCAAAAGTCTTTAAAACTAAATCACAAAATTGTCAATAAACGCACAAAGATAAAATACAAACGAAAACACAGTACACGTGGAAAACACAGAAAGTTAGAGAAAACACTAATGACACTAATGGCGACTGCCCAAGTCAAACTGAAAACAAAATCCACGCCGACGACGCGTCCAAAAATAAATCGATAACCCATCTCGACACCATTCGGCCAATAGAAAAGTAGCATTTCGGCGCATGTGCATTACATCCAGCTACTGAACAAGGATGGACTTATGTCAAACTCGATCTTCTGTCCTTCAATCCTGGGACATAAATTCTCTCATTGCTCTTATGGGGAGGCCGCGGTATATGTAAATTTAAATGTATTTGCTTTTAAAGATCTATTGACTGATGGTTCTGGTTACGATGGTTTTGGTATACACAGCTACATAGAAATAAATGTAACCCGTGGACTGATTCGGAACGCCGGCGCCGCGCCGGCGCCGCACAGTAATGCCGGAAACGCGAAAAGTGGCAAAAAATAATTTCTCAACTTACTAATACATTTTTTAAAGTTATTTTTGTTTTCTAAGTATATAAGTAATGTTTTGAATTCAAAAAATTGAATTATTTATACAGAGTGTACTTAAATTGGCTGTAAAAAATAAAAAATGTGTTGTAAAATATGTAATCATATTATTTTGTCTTTAATAGCATATTAATTTAACACTCTATTCTTTGTAAAGTTTAAAAAATCAAAAAAAGTTTGTGTAAACACATAAATAATATATAGGGTTTTATTTTCAGCCCCTTACAATAGAATTATCATTTCGTTTTTAATATAATTAATCTTTTTTTCAGAACTAATTGCTAATAAGTATTACTTAAATTCAACTTAAAAAATATATTTATATTCTTATCCATGAAAAAAAAAAGAAACTAAATACCGTATGATCGAGAAAAAACGGCGTCAACGGTGGCTATGAAATGAAGATCGCTGTCATTTTATATGTAAATTTATATGGGAAATGCCATTGATCGTCATTTCCCAGCCAACTGGACGCCGTTTTTTTTTCGATCATACGGTACATCTGTATATTTTATGTTATGTTTTATGTAGCTATTAAAGAAAGTAACACTAAAACATCTAAAAGACTTAGCGCTCTTTTCGCATTAGATGTAAACAGTTCACTTACAACCATTTAATTTTAGTTATATTTTTAAATGTTCTATAATTTAGAAATATCTGAAATTATCTGTGGTAAAAATAGTGTACTTAGATTATAATTAGAACTTAGTTACAAGAACTTAATACGCAAGAAAAAGAAATTAAAAATTATCCTAAAGCTTCTAGATAAGATGGATAATATATTTAAGATGGATTAAGCAAACGTATAAAAAAATAAAATAATTTAATCTATAATACGCTTTAGAGCCTCAGAATGCTGTTCTATTTTACTTGACAGAAGAAGTCTTGATGATGTCTTACTATATCCGAGAAAATTAGTAGAAGGTGCATGACATTCTTGATACAAGTTGTTGGCTGAATGTTGATGCATCATAGACACATTGACACATCTTTGTAGTTTATATTAACAATAATTATTCAAAATTAATGAGATTTCTAATAATATTAAATTTAATGTCATATAAGCACGAAAACGAATAAAAACTTAGGCTTAACTGGGAAAAGCTGGTTAAAATTACACATTAAAGAATTATTTTTAAATTTGAATACCTTGTATATCGAAAATTAAATTGAATAAGAGAAAATATATTACAGTTTCCTTTCTAAAACTAATTAAAAATAATCAACAACAATATTTTACAGCATCTAAGAAACACCCAGTAATATACTGTCATACGTAATTTTGAGAAACTAAATCATGGTTTTCGGGAGAGTTAGGCAACCTATAGGGTATTTGTGGGTTAAGGTTGGCCATGAAACTTCGTAGTTATGAAGAAAAAAGGCTAATAATTGTAACCTACATCATATTTTTTTGGAGCAATTTGGAGCATTTTGTATTAGCTTACCTATAATGTGATTTTAGATTATTCAGTCCTTAATTACATCAAAGTCTTTATTGAATTTTTTTATGCTACCAGGGAAGTCAAAACTAAAATTACTTTCTCAGAGTACCATCAGTTTTTAGCTAATTTATCATCAACGTTAAACGCACTAATTTTATTTAATCAAAATATTTTAGCTTCAGCTAATATAATCTTATAAGCTTCAACATTTCTTATCAGGGATTAATAATGGGCCCGTTTTTATTCAAAAATCTTCACGATTCTTAAAATATGGACTATTAGAAAGTATACGAGTGAAATTATAATTAAAAAAAATACTTCTGATATTTTGATTTTTTGCCGCTATTGGGAACTTCTGCGTCACTGTGCGCCGCACAGTGGACCGACCCAATGCAATTTGCTGGACATTCAGCAATTATGAAAAATTTCTAATTTAAAACTTCTTTTTGAATAAATGTGTTCTAAAATCTTCAAATTTGTTAAAAATAGTCACTTTATTATAGATAACTTACTGAATAGCGCAGGGGTGTTTTTCCAGAATATAAATATACAGGGTCGCTGTTATGTATGGAAATGGAAACGGTCGATTATTAAGTAAAATATAGGA